TCTAGAGCAGTGGTTTTTAACCTGTGGGTCGCATCCCCTTTGGGGGTGGAACAACGCTTTCACAGGGTCGCCCCATTCATAACAGTAGCAAAATGACAGTGATGAAGTAGCAACGAAAATAATATTAATGGTTTGGGGGGGTCACCACGACATGAGGAACTGTGTGAAAGGGTTGCGGCATTAGGAAGCTTGAGAACCGCTGCTCTAGAGGCAGACATTCCCCAAAGAGGGGAAAAGTAAGACCAGAGGAAGGATTGTGCTGGCCACGGAAATCTGAGGGTGGGGGAAAGATCCTGTGAAACCAAGGGTAGAGTGCTGTGGCTGCCTCTATCAGTATATCAGCACTGCACCTCAGTCCAGGGAGCCTGGTGGCCCAGTGGGTTAAGCATGGTCTGGTTAGTGGAGGTCGCTGATTTGAGCCCACCAGCTGCTCCCAAGAGAGAGAGAGAAGGCAATCTGCTTCTGTGAAGGTTTACAGCCCTGGAAACCCCATAGAACAGTTCTGCTCCGTCCTGTAGGGCCATTACGAGTTAGAATACTGAACAGCATAGGGTTTGGGTGGTTTGTGTACCCATGCAACAATGGGAGTGACAAGCTGTTTGTCATCCATCCCTTGTCTCTACGAACTTGGAGGACCTTGTACTCGGCTTCAGTCTCAGTGCTGCTGCCTGGTTTTCAAGGCCTGACACAGTGGCTGGGCGCTTTGGCTGTGTTTTAGAATATCTGGGTAGTCTAATAGGGAGTATTTAAAGTCACTTCCTGGGAGCAGCCTGGGCCCCATTGGTCTCCCGGCCTGGCTCCTTTCAGAGCCGGGACTTCCCCCAGTACCCTGAGTGCTCTTCCTTAGGGGCCAATGCTGCTCCAGCTGGTGCCTTACATTCAGCAAGCTCTGAGGGCCCCTACTGGCTGCCCTGAGGTATGTGAGGGACGGGCCACACAAAGACACAAACGCTTTGGTTCCTGCTTTCTAGCTTTTCTAGAAACTCGGAGAGCCCCGGACTCAGGTAGGAAAGGTCTGCTGGGGTTGCCTTGGCAGCCGAGTCTTAAAGAGCAAGGAGGACTTTCAGCAGGTGGAGTAGGCATGGTGCATTACCAGTGGCAGAAAGGCAAGTGACCTAGAGGTTGCCATTTGCCGAGTGTGAAGCCCAAAAGGCGGGTTGGGAAGCAGATTGAGAGCACTGAGGTGGAGCGAAGGGTGCCCTGAGCTTTCTGTGGTCTCTCGGAGCTGGTGATGGTGGGGATGGGGGTGGCAGAATGATTGTACGTGGGACCAGGGTGGCCCGGTCAGCTTTGGCTTTGGTGTAGGTCACACATTGCTGTGTGACCTGTGGTCCAGGGACGCAAGCTACAGGGCATTAGCCCAGCTAGAAAGTGACAGAGCTGTTAAGAAGTGCGCTGATGTGAGAAATGTGCAGGCAGTGGGATTGCCTGCAAGTGGATCTGGGAGCCCTGACAGAGTATGTGAGGCCAGTGGCACCCCTATCCCCACCTCCCCACTGTACGGATGGGAGCACCCCCAGTGAGTGGTGGTGGCCAGGAACCAGGCAGTCTGCCTGTACTTCCCTGTGGGCTGCTAGCAAGGACCCAGCAAGGAGATGGCCAGGCTTTCTAGCTTGGGTGCCTAGGTGGGCAGTTGGTGGCGCATCAGCAGGTACACAGGAGGGCTCGGTTGGAAGTACAGGCAGGGGACAAGCCCCACGGGCTGTTTGATAGAAAGATGACCTGAAAGGGAGGCAGTGGTCAGTGTAAGGCATAAAAAAA